GCCCGATCGCTATCCGATCCCACACATAGTGGATCTCACCGTCAGTCTCGCAGGTAAAAATATCTTTAGCAAAATCGACTTGGTACGCGCATACAACCAAATTCTGGTAGCCGAGGCGGACATCGCTAAAACTGCCGTGACGACTCCATTTGGTTTGTTCTAGTTTCTGCGCATGCCATTTGACCTGAAGAACGCCGCGCAAACTTTTCAGCGCTTCATCGTCCAAAGTTGCCGCGGTTTAGACTTTACTTACGCGTATCTCAATGACATTTTAATCGCGAGCTCTTCACGAGAAGAGCACACCCGCCACGTATGAGCACTTTTTGATCGTTTATCTCAAAACGGGGTGACGATCAACGCAGAAAAGTGTTCGTTTGTTGTCGACTCAGTCAGTTTCCTCGGCCATCGTATCTCCTCTGCAGGCGTCGTGCCACTGCAGGATAAAATTCAAGCCATCATCGACTACCCCGAGCCTCATTCGTTCAAACAGCTCAGGCGTTTTGATGGGCTTGTCAACTTCTACCGACGATCTATACCCAACTGCGCCTCGCTGATGCAACCCCTCATGGACCTTCTCCGAGGGGAACTCAATAACTTCGAATTTCCTGCCGCAGCACAGCTGCTTTTAAGTCGCTGAAAGAGGCTATCGCCAACATAGCTTCTAGAGCACATCACGATCCGGCCGCCCCACTATCCCTCAGTACTGACTCCTCTGAAGTGGCAGTTGTCGCTGTTTTGCAGCAACGAGTAGCTGACACATGGCAGCCCTTAGCGTTTTTCTCCAAACGCCTACAACCTACCGAATCTCGCTACTGCACTTTCGGTAGAGAACTACTAGCTGTATATCTAGCGATACTTCACTTTCGACACGTCCTAGGCTGCTTCTTTGTCGTCTTCACCGACCACAAACCCCTGACTTATTGTAGCGATAACGACAAGACAGGGGGGTAGACGTTTATTGCACACCGAAAATGGGCACATGAGGGTCTCGCGCGCGCCATCGAATATCGACTAGATTTCCGTCCCACCACGCAACACAGGTACGGATGTTAGAGGCGAGCCAGTCCTTTCGCCTCGGGAGCTCTGACTTGGAAGATCCGCCTTCCTGTTTTCGCCTCGATCTCCGCTTCTCTGCACCCGATTTGGATCGGCCAGGAGTCGTTCGAGAGCTCTCGACTTGCTTGTTCTGGGCTGTGTCAATCGGCTCGGCCTCGGTCCTGTGGGCTGCGCTAGCGGCGTATTTGTCTGATTTATTGCGCTGTCCACATATTCCCGCTCCGTAGTTCCGGGCCCAGGCTCGTCGCTAGCCGTCTTTCGCGATCCGCTCTCAGCTAGCTCCGAAGAGCTCCCCAGAGCCATTCTTGGAAGCGGCCCCTCTACACCCGCCCCTCCTCCAGGACCTTTCTTCCTCTCGTACCATGGTCGCAAGAGAGCAGCACTCACCCAACGTTTCATTCCTCCGCAGTCGATTAAGAAGTTGCCCGCTTTCTGGTCGATAATGGTGTAGGGGCCTTTCCAGCGTTCTCTGAACTTGCTTGCGCCCGGCCCGTCATGATCCGGCCGATCGTTGTTCCGTAACTTGACCCGTTCTCCAATCCTGAATGGCCTCCACTTGTGAGACTCATGCCTGGCGTCGTAATTTCGCTTATTCCGCGCTTGTCGAGCTTTGGTTTCGCTTCTAGCTTTCCATCGCAGTCGCTCTTGATGCTCAGCTGGATGTTTCCACTCATCCTGGTTCGGTAGGCAAGTATCGAGCGCAATCCGTGGTTCTCTGCCGAACAGTAATTCTAATGGCGAGACCTTGGTGGTTGATTGCATGCTGGTCCGATACGCGATCAGAACCTGAGGCAAAGCATCTTCCCATGCCAACTTCGTGCAGTTTATCCACGTCTTCAATGTCCGGTTGAACCGCTCGGTCATCCCGTTGGTTTGTGGGTGGTACGGTGAAGTTCGCCGTCTCTGGATGCCCCACTTGTCCAACACTGACTTAAACGCTCTTGACTCGAAGCAGGGCCCTTGGTCCGTGATGATACACTGTGGGATCCCATACCTTGCAGGCACATTGAATTCGAATACTTGCGACACTGTCTCGCCTGTTTGGTCCTTGATTGGTATGGCTTCCACCCATCGAGTGAAGTGGTCAATCATCACTAGAAGGTATCTGTTTCCTGTTCGACTCACTGGTAAGGGCCCAAAGACGTCCAGTCCCCAACACTGAAGTGGCTCACCAACCTCCATCGATCGCATCGGCGGTCTCGGGGACTCCATCTCCCGACTCGTTTGGCAGTTTGGGCACTCCCGAAGGTATGCCGCGACGTCCTTCCTCATGGTTGGCCAAAACACTCGCCTCCGCAACAATTCAAAGACCCGCTCGAATCCCATATGGGCGCCATCATGAGTTATGCGCATCACACGTTCTCGCTGATTTGGTGGAACAAAAGGCACTTTCCGTCCGTCTATCGCCACCACCACGTTATCGTTTTCGACCTTCAACCTGTCCTAGATCTTGAGGAGTTCCTCCACCTCCTCCGATGTAGCCTCCGGTTTGGTGCCAGCCCGTAAGTGAGAGCACAACACATTCACGAATTCATCTGTCCTTTGATCTCCCAGCAGGTTCCTCTCCCCCATCGCGATCACACGCACCGGTATGGCATTGTCTGGCATGATGTCGTCCAAACACGGGCGTGACAGCATGTCTGGCAATACATTCTGCGTTCCATCCACGTGCTCAATGGTGAAGTTGCATTCCTGCAATCGGTAGGCCCATCGCGCAAGCCGTCCCCGCGGGTCTTTCGCCGTCATCAACCACGAGAGCGGTTTGTGGTCAGTGACGACCCGGAATTCATTCGCCAGTAAGTAATTTCTCCACTTCTCTAACGCCCACACGATGGCCAAGCATTCTTTCTCCGTTGTTGAATACTTCTGTTCCGCCCCCGTCAGCACTCTGCTCGCTTACTCCACCACCCCAGCCGGTTGAGACAAAACCGCACCGATGGCCACGTTGCTTGCGTCGACAGCCACAGTGAACCTTTCACCAGGATTGGGTAGCCGTAGACATGTCGGGGTTTCTGCTATGTATGCCTTTAGATGGTCAAAGTCCTGATCCGCTTCAGCTGTCCACACGAAGGGCACGTCCTTGCGAAGCAGCTTTAACAACGGGCTGACCTTCTCTGCGAACTGGGGCACAAACTTTGAATCATATGCCACCACTCCCAAGAACGAACGGAGCTGACGCTTGGATTTTGGTTTTGCGAAGCACTTGATCGTCTCGCGTTTCTCCGGAAGTGGATGGACTTGACCATTACCCACGATGTGACCCAAGCATACAATTGACTTTTGGGCAATCTGCGACTTTTTACGACTGAGTTTCAGACCAGCTTCGTCCAGCCTCTGCAGTACTGCTCCAAGCCTGGTCACATGTTCCTGTTCCGTCTCAGAGAAGACGATGATGTCATCACCATAAACAACCACGCCTTGCAGGTTCGCGAGGACCATCAGCAACAAACGCCTGAATGTAGCCGGGGCGTTGCACAATCCAAACGGCATTCTCAAAAACTCATACTGCTGGCCATTGACACTGAAAGCCGTCTTGTGGCGATCTTCTTCTACGATCGGCAGTTGCCAATATCCCGAGCGGAGATCAATCAGAGATATCTGCTTCGCACTGTGAAGGCTTGAGAAAATTTCTTCCATCTGAGGCATCGAGAATGCATCCTTCACCGTCACCCTGTTTAGTTCTCTGAAATCGATGCAAAATCGATAGGTTCCGTCGGCCTTCTTCGTCAATAGCACGGGTGATGAATACGGGCTGTGCGTTCGCCTGATGATTCCTTTCGATTCCATCTCGGTCACCTGCTTCTGTATCTCCCCCAGGGTGTTCTGTGGAATTCGTCTGAAGATTGGCTTGCATTGTCCTCCTGGGATCAACGGTATTCGGTGTTCAACCCAATTGCAAAATCCGTAATCATCTTCCGCGTCTGTGAATAAGTGGGCATACCTGCTCAGTACGTTGCGCACTGCACGGTTCTGACAATCAGGCACGGCTTTGAGGGCACCAACCCGGTCGGTTCTCCCCTTGTTTATCTCGATCGTCTCGTTAGCCACGATCACCACATCGTTTTTCAGGTCAATTGTGACACCGAGCCGTTTCAGGATGTCGGTTCCGATGATGGTTTCGGTCGTCTCCTCCACGATGAACATGTCATGGCTGATGAGCGTTTCTCCTATCCTGATTCGTAACCGCTGCGTGCCCGTCACTTTCAAAGAATGTCCGCCGACCGTCTGCATCGTGAGTGAAGATGGGTTTACTGGAACCCCATTGAACCTCTTCATAATTGACACTGCCGCTCCTGTGTCTACTACGGCTCGGACAGACACACCTTCTATAGTTACCTGGAGGACTGGTACTCGCCACCGACTCGGCATGGATAGAGAGAAACAATGGGGCACATTGACGTTGGTGCAGAATTTCGCCACATGGCCATTCTGGTTGCATCGGAAACAGCGGCGACCGTTCCGGATTACCCGTACATTGCGTTGTGAAGTGGTGCTTGAAGACTCTATCGACAACAGCTGCTCCACCATTTCGGATAGGCGATTTACTTTCTGTTCCAACTCAGCATGCTGGATGCTTCTCACTGTCACTCGTTCCGACAAATTCTGGGCGACCGTCACCAGATCCAACGCTTTGCTGTCTCCCACCAGCGACGCCAAATTCACCTGATCATGGAGTGGACCGGGCAGACTTCGGATAAACTGCTGTTTCAGTAGGCGTTCGCTTGCGTTACCCTCTAACTCGGGAAGCCCAATCGTTAGATGTCTGTCCAGCTGCTGGAAAAACACCATCAAATCCTCCTGTTCGTCCCACCTGGCTGCGTGAAATCGTTGCAGTGCTCGTTCTCTCTCCAGATCCTTCCCAAATTCTGCACACAAGGCAGCCCTCATCTCAGCGAACGAACAACCGGGTTTGGCCTTTCGAGTGAGCAGATACACCGCCTTGGCTCGTCCACCCAACCGTGTGCCCAAAGCAATTAGCAAATTTGCATCCCCCTCACATCCGTGCAAGCCGCAATTCCGTCGAACTCATCGAGCCACGCCTCCACGTCACCGGCCGCAAATTGCTCTAACTGGGTCAACTCCATCGCGATTGGTCACGGCACCAGTGTAGCGAGAACGACAAGACAGGGGGGTAGACGTTTATTGCACACCGAAAATGGGCACATGAGGGTCTCGCGCGCGCCATCGAATATCGACTAGATTTCCGTCCCACCACGCAACACAGGTACGGATGTTAGAGGCGAGCCAGTCCTTTCGCCTCGGGAGCTCTGACTTGGAAGATCCGCCTTCCTGTTTTCGCCTCGATCTCCGCTTCTCTGCACCCGATTTGGATCGGCCAGGAGTCGTTCGAGAGCTCTCGACTTGCTTGTTCTGGGCTGTGTCAATCGGCTCGGCCTCGGTCCTGTGGGCTGCGCTAGCGGCGTATTTGTCTGATTTATTGCGCTGTCCACATATTCCCGCTCCGTAGTTCCGGGCCCAGGCTCGTCGCTAGCCGTCTTTCGCGATCCGCTCTCAGCTAGCTCCGAAGAGCTCCCCAGAGCCATTCTTGGAAGCGGCCCCTCTACATTATGTGCTCAGCTCGACTACCGATCGATACTCTCCT